TGCGCAATCATACCTAAAATAGCACACAAACTTATATATAACTACACAGCTACATAGTTGTACATGCAAACTGATAACTTTTTTATGCCTGCGGCGTTATTGTTCCGCAGTTTTTGCTTCTTTTTGTTATTTTAATATCTATTTGCTGTAGTTGTTTTTATTTTTAGTTTTTATGGTTCTTAGCCTAGGGCAAAAATTGCGTGCTACATAAGTATTTTTATTTGCTTGCTGTCAAATTTTGTGTGCCTCAATATTCCACTTTTTTTTTTATAGGTATCTAATGCTTTTGCTTATGTGTTTGGTAAGTAGTCAAATGGCACTCGACGTATGTATGTATGTATTATGTATTTTTAAGTGTGCTAAAAAATTTTTATCAGCACAAAACTTTTTTTGTGTATAGCTGTTTGTGTGTCACATAAGTTCGATCTTTCAGCGTTCATTACTTGTACTATACATATATGTATATATTTAAGGAAGAGATCAGATATACGGATTTGAAATGTTGTACTGTTTTGGTATTCTTATGACAGTGTATCTTGTCCAATAATTTGTCGAAAACTTGATTTTGTTGGGACAGTTTGTAATGTATATGCTATAGAGTTACAACCTGAACAATTTGTTCGAAAGTTATACAGTTATATGCTATAAGGGTACAATCTGGATTTTTTTTTTTCGAAAATTGTCCCGTTACCTTCGATAATAAGACATGCCATGTTTTATGAAAATAATTTTCCATACAAGGACTTGATATTAGTCGATCTGTTTGTATGATAGCTATGTTCAATAGCAGATAGATAACGGTAATTCCGATAAAGGTGTGTGCAAAATTTCAGTTCAATAACGGAAAAACTAAAAGACTTATATAAGTATGTACAAAGAGGTATACAAGACGGCTAGACAGATGGACATGGTCAAATCGATTCAGCTTGTAACGATAATAATTTATTTACTTGTATACATATATAATTTAGAGGATCTCACTTCTTCTTAATATAACAAACTTCGTGGCAAACTTATCAAGATATAAATAGGGGTAATGAAGCATGGTGCTGTGGTCGAAATATCTTTTGGTTGCAAAATTTTCAAGTCTACAGTTTATTAATAAAAAATAGTAAGAATTTGATATAAATTCATTTGTTAATGGTAAGATCGATCTCTGTGAAGCATCTTCATTGTTTACTCAATGTTATATCAATACATCATTAAAGAAATAAATCGAAAAATATATTCTTTGGTCTTAAAATATTGATACGAAAAATTAAAACTTATAAGATAGTTATGATAAATTTTTTGAAGAAAATTTCTGGGAAAAAATTCTAATTTCAAGTTAAAAAAAAAATAACAAATTTAAAACAATTCAATTATCTCTCGACTCTGTGGCCAAATTAAAAGCATATATAGTACTTATTATAACTACATATTTCTAAAACATATTTGAAGTTCATATAAACCACGACAACTTTGATTTTCAGAAAAGAGTACGGCCGAAAGTATGCAAATAAATTAAAAATACTTCAAGCTACTCATGTTCAACAACACTTGATATTGGTATTACTTAACCATGCTTTCACTCAGAACAACATTGAAGGAAAATAGATTGCCGTAAAAAAATTATATAACATTTCTAATGAAGATTTCACCACTTTGTCAAGTGGTTATTTTACTACAATCCCTCAATACTTTACCAATATACTGTGAATTTTTTTTGTGACATTTTCTAAGAACACAATTAAACGAAATCACATTGTTTTATGTATTTGTGGTTCCGACAACATAAAGTTTATTAAAATTTCACCACTCTAAGTGGAGGTTTTTAGCCACAGTCTCACACTTTTCAACCACAGTTCCTCACTTACGCACTAATACTTCAACAATAGTCTGTAACTTTCGCAATTATTATCTTAGATTCTATCTTCTTGTAGTGATTTTTTTCTCAATGCCTATAGTATGGGTGTAAATAACCGCCAGTTGGGAAAAAATAATTACTTTTTGTAAAACATAATACCAAGAAATTGCAAAGATGGAAATCTTAACCAATTTATAGCTAAAAGTCCTATATAACAGAGGCTAACTTATGATGCTGTATAGCAATTATTTATGATTAAGAAAATATATCTGCGATTAGCAGAGTGTCAAAACAACCTAAAGGTTTTTTCCACTCTTAGATGACTAGGCAGATTTCCATGAACAGCTTATCTTTTATGTGATTTTGAAATTTAGTCAGAATTATTGAAACTGAAAAAAATATATTTTTTTTAAATAATTTTTATGTGTTTTGGACACGCATCTGTTATCTTCAGCTTATCAATCCTGAAATGTCGCGCGTACTAGCCGCTAAGCTTGCGCCACTCAGCGCAAGTACAGACACGTAAAATTAATGCATGAGCATTCACGTGCGTTTATTTGTAGTACTTATATACTACTGTCTACTTTAGTATATATGTAAGCATACATCTTTGTAGAGCCTCTTGGCGTTATGCTTCAGACAAAGAAAGCGAAATCTTATGCAAATATTTGCTTGAAAATATCTGTTTTGTGCTAAATTTAATAGCTACAACTAAGCAAGCATTCAAGTACGCTTGAGTCAAAAAACGCAAAACCGATGATAACTAACTAGAAGAGGCGTGTTCAGTGAAATATGCATATACAAATGTACACCTATACAAGTATATACAAATAAATGACGCTTATTTATATTTAAGTCGGTAGTTGAATTTTTCCTTAAGTTACGTACATATGTGAAGAGGTATATGAGAAGAAAAATATGTGAAAAGGGAATGGCAGTCAACAAGTGACAGTTACTGTAGAAAAACATCTGCATGCTAAGGTGGCAAAGCGAGCAGGCAGCCAAGATAACGAAACAAGTAACAAGTAATTACGGTGCAAGAGCCCAAAAGCAAAGTATGTGCAAAATGATTAAATACATTTCGCGCAAATAGACACGTGAAATGCAAAAAATTTGTTATATATGGCAAAATGCCATATATTGTCTGTATGTATGTAGGTACATATGTAAAAATATTACCTGGTTATTTACAGCAGCGCGCTGAGGCTAATTATTTTTCGTAATAGTGCTATAAAAGTATTTTTCAGTCTCATATTTCATTAGTGTTTATGGCTTAATAATTTCAAACTAAATATGAATGGAAAATTGCTTGTTAAATGTTTATAGCGAAATATTCAAAAGGAAGCAGCTTGGAGTTTTGTTAGAAGTCTGTACATATGTAAGTGCGCCTATCAATACAAGCTGTTTTTTGTAGGTTAGTGCTTTTTCTGTAAGGCCTTGTAATTAAAATGTGAAGATGTACAATTTTTTCTTAAATATTTCAAAATTTTGAATTAAAAAAAAATTAAAATAT